AGTTGTGACACCCTTTCACAGTACAGTACGTCATTTTTTTGAAAAATTATACGAGCTGTTTACACGTCTACGTGGACTCAAGTAAACAAAAAAGCTCCAAAATAGTCAAAGTTCACTGTAACACTGCAAAATAACTCCGAACAAGGCTTAGATGTCAGACGAACTATTACAAATGAACGTCATCCTAAAATGGCGTCATGCTTCAAGGTGGAGCTTAGTGAAATTATGAAAACTGTCAACAGAAAATTAAAGTCTAATGCCGCCTCCACACGCTTCGTGTTTGCCACATACACCATACACGAACAAACACCGACCACATTCACCCAACACAAACACGGCATCCACACGCTCGGCGAACGTGCTAGTATATTCCGGATAGGCAAACATGACGGATGACGAGCTTGGGGCAGCGATTACTTTCGGGTTGACCTATTTTTATTTAAAAATAAGGCAATATGAATTGCTCTCAAGGTTATTGTATTGAAGATTTTACACACCATAGAATCTCAAATGAATTCTCAATTATCACTGCTATAAATTGTCTAGCCTGCCTAGCGTCTCCGACGACAAAGAAACGTCGCCTCCCAGTTTTGTTAGCTCACGAATTAAGAGAAAGCGCTCCGAAGAAATTCTGATCGATTTAGCGGATTTTAAAACAGAAATGAAGGACATGATTACTTCATGGATGGATCAGCAAAACAGCGAAAGAACAGAAGTAACATCTGCGTTGAGATCCATAGAGGAATCACTGACTTTTCTCTCAACCAAATACGACGACATGTGTAAAAAAGTGGACCTTATGGAGCAAGAGAGGCACAAACAGAAGGAACATATTACTATACTTGAAAATAATGTGGAAAATCTCATGAAAGCCCAACGTAAATGTTCATTTGAACTGAAAAATGTCCCAAGATCGGAAAATGAATCCAAAGAAACGTTGTTGAGCATGGTAAGTAATTTATCTACATCACTTAAGGTCAATATACAAAGTAATGACATAAAGAATATATATAGGACGACCATAAAGGGTGATAAAAAGCCTATTGTTGTCGAAATGTCAACTTACGTCCAGAAAATTAACATTACAAGCGCTGCTAAAAAGTACAATAACCATAATAAGAATAATAAATTAAATACCCAGAACCTAGGTCTAAAGGGAACATGTACCCCTATTTTTATCTCTGACCATCTCACACCTAATAGTAATAAACTGTACTACTTAGCGAGGGAATTGTCAAAAAATCTGAAGTATAAATACTGCTGGACCTCGGTAGGTGAAGTCCTGGTGCGGAAAGATGACTCATCCCCGATCATAAAAATTATGAATGAAGCACAAATAAAAGGCATTTATGAGGCCAACAAATGACTATGCATGAACTGTGTACTTAGTTTCAAGTGGATCCATGTCTTGCAAAGTGTTCAAGCAATTGATATAGGTTATACACATAACTTTTTAATTGTACGTTGTACCTATGTTCTGTTAACTCTGTTTATGCCAGTAAAATATTCATAACTTACACACTTTTCTTGTCACACATTTACCTTAATACTTACTCCAAAACACAAACACAAATTCCACTCACACACCTCTTTACAAAAGTTCTGTTTTCGCTAGCTAAACATAACACCTTGCATTCACACTGTAGATTAATTGCAATAATTAACTTTGATCTGAGAGTTTGGAATAACCAATGTAGGAATATTATTTTTCACTTTTATTCTTTCGTGGTAATCAACTGTCTAGAACTCCTTTATGCAAATAATTTTAAATTAATACCTATTAGACAAATTTACTGCACACAAAAACTTCCTAATTTTCATGGATAATTTGTCCCATCCATAGAATGATATAGACAATATTAGTATAGCTCAGGCCGTCACTTGCACGCCTGAAGAGTGTTATTTACACGTCTCAACAAAAAGTCACCTAACCATTCTTACCCAAAACATAAGGAGTATATACAAAAATCTTGATATTTTTCAAGCTATGCTCCACTCAACTAAAACCGACTGCGACGTACTAGTTATGACTGAATGTCACCTCTCAAAAAAAAAAGTATTCCTAACCTAAATGATAATTATAACACACACTTTACAAAAAATACCTTAAACCAATGTGATGGCGTAGTATTTTATGTAAAAAAGAATCTAAACATCAATGTATTTGAACCGTATATTACAAACGCTTCCTACCTTGTTTTATCTCTTTACGATACTGTCATAATCGGCATTTATCGCACTCCATCTATTAGAAATACTGACGAATTTGTATCATCCCTTCAATCTCTTCTTATACAATATAATTGCTATCCGAATATTATTATAACGGGTGACATAAACATCGACATCAAAATCGACTCCAAAGATCCAAACTGTCATAACTATTTAACATCACTTGCTTATTATGGGATACTCCCAGCTCATAGGCTCCCAACTCGTGATAAAATGAGCTATGATCACATGATGCTGAAACCGTCTCACCCTGCTAAATCACTTGTTCTTACTAACCCTACCACTGACCACAGTACAGTCATTCTTGACCTGATGTTTGAACCTCTGCGATGCAATCTGGCTCTAAAAACCAAAATTTCAATCAATTTTGATGCCACTTTGAATGACATTAAGGCGGACTTACCTGATATATTAACAATAACAGACCCTTCTGAAGCTGCCCAGGTTTTGGTTTGTAAAATCTCCACTGCGATTAAAAACAACCAAACTATAAAAAGTGTCCCTTCAAGAAAAAGACATATCAAGCTCTGGATAACCATAGGAGTTTTACGTTGCCTTCGCAATCGCGACAAACTTCATTTAAAATTAAAAAACAATCCGTATAACGAAATATTGAAAGTAACCTATAAACGTTATAGAAATTATTGTAGTAAACTTGTTCGAAAACTTAAAATAATGCACGAAAGAAACAATTTAACTAAAGCTAATAAAAATCCTAAATTACTGTGGAAAACAATAAAATCTATATGTAACATAAACACTAATAAAAATGACTATATACATAATCTACTCTCACTTAAATCCACACCGTTGGAAGCAGCAAATTGTGCTAATAATTACTTCTCTAACTTAGGTAAACATCTGGCTGAAAACTTATTACCGTCCCCCATGTCCTATAATTCTATTCGTAGCATAAATAACATTAATAGTCCCTCTTCATCCAATTCTTTCGTTCTTTTAGCAACAGATTCAGTAGAAATTAATACAATCATCTGTAACTTATCTAACGACTCCGCCCCCGGGTGGGATAACATTCCTACTGCTTTTATTAAAATGGCCAAAAATTATCTTATCCCTGTCCTTTGTCATCTGTATAACCTCTGTTTCGAAAAAGGCTGTTTCCCCTCTGTTTTCAAAGAAGCTATTGTAACACCCATCTACAAAAATGGAAATAAAGATGAAATTGAAAATTATAGGCCTATCTCTGTACTTCCAGTTCTGGCAATAATTTTGGAAAAGCTTATTAATAACCGCATTAAAAAATTCCTTTACAAAAACAGCCTGCTATCAAATAATCAATTTGGCTTTAGAAATGGCGTGTCCACTGAAGACGCAGTTCTGGCACTTTCCGACACTATCTGTAAGCACCTAGATGCAGGCAATAAATGTGTCGGCGTCTTCCTTGATCTGGCAAAGGCGTTCGACTCCGTTTCAATTCCAATATTATTACATAAGCTATATCACATTGGCATAAGAGGGACACCCCATAAGCTATTCACAGACTACCTAACGAATCGCCTACAACATCTAAAACTTGGTGACGTTATCAGCCAGTCATCTCCCATTAATTACGGCGTTCCACAAGGCAGTGTGCTCGGACCGACATTGTTTTTGATATATGTGAATGACCTCTGTAGCCTCAAGCTTCCTAATTGTGATATATTTACATATGCGGATGACACCGCCCTGATTTTCAGTGAAAAGAGTTGGGATTCTCTTAGAATTACGACTGAATCAGGATTACAGCATATATCAAATTACTTAAGATCACATCTATTAACTCTTAATGTATCAAAAACCCAATTTGTTCCTTTTGTAATACAAAAATCTTCCTTACCACACTCGGACTTTGCTCTTAAAATTCATAGCTGCTCCCAACACCAGGTGAAAAATTGTCAATGTGTTGATATTGCTAGATCGTCTACTATCAAATATCTAGGTATCACTATCGACCAGCATCTTATATGGAACAAACAAATTGAGTGTACCATTGACAAGATAAGAAAGCTTATGTGGATTTTTAGAAGGCTCAGACATGTCGCAGATAATAAAATTCTTATATGTACGTATAAAGCTCTAGCCCAATCTGTCTTAAGCTACTGCATTACAGCATGGGGTGGAGCAGCTAAGTCCTATTTAATAACTCTTGAAAGGGCTCAGAGAGCATTACTGAAGGTGATGTTCTTTAAACCAACGTACATTTTAAAGAGTGTTATACGAATCCACAGCACTTTACCATACACTGCCCTTCAGACACTAAAACGTAGAATTCTACCTGTTTTCAATATTCCATATTGTAAAACCAAATTTAAGAAAAAACAATTTGCCTGTAAATCAAAATATCTATATAATAAATTAAATAGTAGGCTAAATATGTATCCCCTCACTTGTGTTAAATTGAAAAATTTGTTATATAGAATATATAGGAAGTGAACATAATTCCTAAATTTCATGCATTTCCGGTAACATAATAAGAAACATGTACATATAATTAGTTAAGGTCACACGGAAAGTCTCAGATACATCGTCAATATGGCCACACTACTTCAGTGCGATTTCTTTTAAACAAAAACAATAAAATTGTTCAAACTTAATTAAATTCAATGTAAAACTATTTGATTTTGACAAAGTTATAATTTACTAATATGTTTAAAACACTGATAAAACATTTCAGCAAAAAATTAAGTGAAAATACAAAAAAGTATGTTTACAAGTATTCAATGCCAGAAGTCACTAATTAAACACTTACGTGTGAAATCTTATATTACCTCCTGGACACCAACTACTGCCGCAACCACGTACTACACAAGTTTGCACCATTTCTTGAATTATAACAATAATTAACTTTAAATATCTCAAACGACGCTGTGAACTGCTAAGTAAACAACCGCCATATTTGTCTAATTTATTTTGACATATAGGGCTAATGTTGCCACATTACCGAACCCTTAGGAAATGGGATTGTAATTCACTGATTCGTTAACCCAATAATGCATACAAGACCTTCAATTTTGGAATTTTTAATGTAACTAATCGTAGATCAACTATTTATTTATTGGTACATTATTTTACAGAGCTTAACTTCTGATTTAGTTAGTGTGGAAATTATTTCTAAGAATTTACCAGGAGATTCAAATAAAAACATAGCAATATTGTGTTCCACACTAAAAAGAGAAGTCAGACCACAGAGAGTGAGATAAAGATACGTAGGTATTTGACTCAAGCTGTTGTTCCAAGTGTGGCCTCCATCTTTATTTATAACTTCATGGTTGAGTCATTAGACTGGTATATAGTTATACAGTAATCTGTGGCTGTCAACTGTCATATATCATCTTGCTATGGGAGTTTTGCACAGAGTACTTTTTTATATAGGATTTTTTTATATGGGAGTGATATAAGAAACTATTTTTCTTATATCAATGAGAAAAACAGAAAATTAATTCTACTTACATATGTATTGCATATTTATTTATGAATTGTGATTAAAGCTATTGGAAATAGAAATGGCCTATTTTAGTGAAATTTGTAGAATCTGTTTATGCGATAATGTACGCATGTATGTACTAAAGAAGACTGGTCTCGAAAATTTGTACAAAACATTGACGAATAATTTTGTAAGTTTGTAAAAATATTTCTTAACATTGCAAATTGAATGTACCTCGTCGAGAAATACTTTAAAGAGGGGTTATCGCTGGAGAAATACCTTATAACATTTATAGTGTATATAACATAAATAGTATATATATATACTATATACTATATAGTGACAAATACAACCAAAACCTGAAAATCAACAACTAGCCTGAATCCTGGGTCGCACTAAAATCAGTATTATCATTGAAGTAACCGCGGGCTCAAAATTACCGAGTCTGCGCCATAAAAAGGAACCTTGTGCATCCTTCCACGCGACCCGTTCTACTGCATAGATTTATTCGCGGTGTCTGTTATTTTCCGTCAAAAAATTAATATCCACCCTAGTTTGCTCTTTCACCCACTTAAAGCTGTTCTATGGACTATTAAAGTGGGAGATTAGAGTGCACATGTGCTTACAGACAGAAATTCCCTCACTCTCATGTTTCTCATATTCCTATCAGACTGAGAAATCGGAGAAGGGAATAATGTGCACATGTGCTTGTTAACACACATGCAATATAATCCTGTCCTGCACTGATGAATAGTCTCCATTGTGACCAAAATTCTGCCTGTATGACATATTATCATTATTTTATAAGTGGTAGAGCCATGCTGCAGCTATATTATGGTTGTATCAAAGATGGTTCAGCTAGACCGGGGTGCTACCACATTCACAGATTACTAGAGTTAAATAGCAGCTTAATTCTGCTCTGTTTTATATGGTGAATGTAGAGCATCGGAGACACTTTTTACTAGAGGTGAGGCATTCAGTCTTGGTCTCAGGGGTGACAACGCATCTGCGTTTTGATTCTTAACTGGGGATAAATGTGGAGGTATACAGGCCATAGCGAACGACAAATCATACAGTCCATCTGATGGTAAGTAAATGCACTTACCATCAGGTGGACAGTTCTATTTGTTGTTATCCTTGTGTAAGAAATTATTGAGTCAGCCAGCAGTTGATACAGTTGATATAACTCTGTATCCTGGTTTCAAATCATGTTGTACAATTAGTTTATGATTTGTACTAATATTACTTTTGATAGCAGCCTGTTCCATACTTTAACCACACAATAGCTAAAGTAGGCGAGTTATTAGGTGACTCAGCTTTAGTCAATTTGAAGTGATGCCACTAAGTTGTGTGTTGTTTGAGTACTGGAATAATAAAGTTTATCGAAATTTTCTATATCATGGTGTTTGTATATTATTTTATATGTGTCAATCAAGTCTCCTCATTCTCTGTCATCTTTCAGACTGTCTTCATATAGTATGTTTTCAATTATGTACAAACATGAATATCTGTGTTGAAGCTTCTTCAGCAATTCAATATAATTTAGAATGTATATTCTAAAATAGGTCGAAAATTTGTTTTATATATTTTTAGTATCATTTCTGGTATTATTATTATTATTTACCATAGTTGCCACGCTAGCTGGCTGGTTGTCAACTGCAGTTTTTTTATTAGTCTGACTTGTTATGAGTAAAATGCTGCTGCCCATATCCTTATGAGATAAAATAATCTAATTGTTAGATGACAAAACCGACCTGGAACTTACTTCATACTGTAATTGATAATAAATTAAAAAGGTTAAAACTGCTAGGGGATGTATGTATATTGTTATTAACTTACATTTGAAACTAAGTGACAGTGTCCTAATAGTGTGTGAAGCATTACATCTTAGTCCTCAGAGGTAACATCGCATCTGTAGCCTTTGCTTGAAGTTCGTTGCAGGTGCCTGTGGTCTGCAGCAGCCACTTACCTTTGGGTCGATTGTAAGTTTATTTATCACTTCAGTATTGTAAAAAATTTGATGATGATGAAGAGAATTGTAGTAACCAATAGATTTTATTACAAACTTGTATATTTAAGTAGTTTTCCATATTTATGACGAACTTTCATATTTTCAGATGGACGAGGATGAGGAGCCCATAATTATCTGTTTCACCTGTCATGCAAGACTCATTCGTTGCAGAACATTACAACAACAGGCTATTGAGTCAAATGCAATTCTGGAGCAGTTGCTTGCAGGAGGGTCCATGGTATTATCCGTTCCATCCATTAAACCTATAAAAGTCCCTCATAGATTGCCTCATATACGAGGGGTTTTGCCATATTTGCTACGCTTGGCAGGTTGGTAACCATAGTTTATATTATTCTGAGTTGTTAGGAAAATGCTGCCTCTCAACTCCTGTTTCTGTTTCCCTCTGTCGCTTCTTACGACACCCTTCCCGTGGGTAGGTATATAGGCTAGTGGATATTCTTACACCGCCACTACATGGTCCACGGTATTATACCTGTTATTAATAAAAGTTCACTGCTTGATGGGTCACTACCATTATAATGAAGTAGTTGCCTTAATCATCACTTGGCAGGAACCTTGATGATCACTACCTGTCTCATGCCTTCTATGCTACTTCCCGTTGCCATATGGGAGAATGTTTTTTCTACTGCAAAGTTAAGTTTATCCTTCAATTCAACTTACTTTTTTGTTAGAGCAATATCCTATATTTTATGAATTACAGTAAGTTAAGTACTTATTTTTACAAAAATAATTAGCTAACTGTTTATGCTGTTATATATTACTCTATTGTATATAAACGAAATATTATCTATATGTAATATTACTCAGTAAACAAAGATAGATCATTGTCAATTTACGGCATTCATGAATCTGATTGGATAAATTATTGAGTCTCTATACTCGGGATGGATGAACTATATACATTCTTTTTTTATTTTTTATTCTTTCATTTACTTTGTCCGGTTTTTATTACTACTTGTAGTTGTTGTCAGGAAGATGCTGCTGCCCATCTCCTGTTTCAGTTTCCCTCTGTCCCTTTTTACGACATCTGCGGGATGATATGGTAGTATGGAGTCTCCTGCGGCACCACTATGCTGGCTTTTTCTCTTATTTCACAAAAGAATTTGGTTTCAGTCAATACCAAATCATCATGAGGCTAGAGATAAGATTCAATTCACACCAATTAGTCATATAGATATCAGGCCAGCAGAGTGTGATGTAGAAAATAATTGTAAGGACGATATGTTTAGCCTTGATTTTGTTAAAGTTGAGGAAGAGAATTTCGAAATTGAGAATTCCACATTTAAAGAAAATTGGAATCATGAAATAGGTAAGATATACACATTTTGTAATATTAATAAAATAAGCTGCAAGTTACCTAATGGCAAGTGGTTAGTGTAGCCCATGGACACAAAATTATATTATAGTGACATATTGGGGCGGATTAGGCCGTATGTTCCAGACGCGTACCAATGTTGAGTAAGACAAGGCGCTTTTAACACAAACGTTACGCATTCTTAATAGAATGGCTGATGACAGTGATCTATTCTGTTGCACCTTGAGTGAATACACTAGGGTAGGATTGTTTACAATTGTTTACAGTTAATGACCACACTCCAACTCGTCTCATCGTCTTTTTCTTTGATAGCTTCCTGCAATCTTCTTATTTGGCCTGCGTAGTCGAGACTATAAGCCGGAAATAATGGCTCCCTTTTCCAAATATTCCACCATAATTATTCCTTCAAAAACGTACGCCATAACCTTTCCCGCCGAACTTGGCACTTTGAATTTCCTTGGTGTCTGGAGGAGGCTCGGTTCTAAACCATTGATTGTTGTTTGGTTTCAGGATCGAAATGGTAGATCCAGGTCTCGCCCATGGTCACGAAACGTAATAAAAAAAATCTAATCTGCTTGGAACCTTTCGAGATTAACCCTCGATATGTCGACAAATTTTTTCTTTTGCTCGTCGGTTAACATTCTCGGTACCCAATGCGCAATTAGTTCGCAACGTTTCTTTGACCACTGTCACATGAGATCCCTGTGACGTCAGCTATATGCCTGATGGTCACTCTTCGATCTACCAATACGATGTCTTCAACTCTTTTCACTTTATCTTCAGTGAGGGATGTGAATGGGCGTTCATCTTCCGTGGATGTTCTGCCCAGCTAAAACTCCTCAGCCTAGCGTGCAACTGTGGAATATAGAGGAGCAAGAGTCCCTCTAATGTTTTACCAAGTCGCTGTGTATATCTTTGGTAGACATTTTTTAAACAGAGAGAGCTCTCATTAAATTTTTCTCCATTTTCATGTTATCTCTTTGATGATTCGTATTCAAATGAATGTACCTCTCGAGAATTGTAGCCTATTTATTTAGACGTTTGGTGCGTAAAAATTAGAATGGCCTAGCACTTGACTTGACGGGTTAGCAAAAATAAATATTTAAGGTTAACTGAGAGGTGTAGCCTAATGCTATACTATTCCTCATGAAAAAACCCTTCCACTTTATTATATTAGTATAGATTACAAAGTTATAATGCAGTTGTTGTGTTATGTTCTTGTTATTTTTATGTTTATGTCATATTCTCTTACTCTTTAGGTGTTTTTTTTTTTATAGGAGAGGGGGCAAACGAGCATGCGGCTCACCTGATGGTAAGTGACTACCGCCGCCCATGAACAACTGCAACACCAGGGGAATCGCAGATGCGTTGCCGGCCTTTTAAAAAGGAGTACGCTCTTTTCTTAAAGGTCCCTAAGTCGTATCGGTCCGGAAAAATCGCTGATGGTAATCGATTCCACAAGGAGGTCGTGCGAGGAAGAAAACATCTTCTAAATCGCACAGTGGTGGACCGCCAATCATCCAGATGGTGTGGATGGTATCGGGAGTTCTGCCGCGATGTGCGTTCGTGAAATTTGGCGGCTGGGATTAATCCGAACAATTCCTCAGAGCACTCCCCATGGTAGATGCGAAAGAAAATGCAAAGGGATGCAACATCTCTTCGCAGTGCCAATGAATCGAGCCGATCGGAAAGGGCTCGGTCGTCGACAATTCGAGCCGCTCTGCGTTGGATGCGGTCAAGTGGAAGGAGCTGGCACTGGGGAGCCCCTGCCCAGAGATGGGAACAGTATTCCATGTGAGGCCGAACTTGCGCCTTGTAAAGTAGCAGGCGGTGTGCCGGCATGAAATACTGTCCCGCTCTGCTGAGCACGCCAAGCTTTTTAGAGGCCAATTTGGCCTTCCCTTCCAAGTGACCACGAAACTGCACGTCACTCGATATGTCGACTCCGAGGATACCGATACTGGCTGAGGCAAGAAGGGGAGTGCCTTGAAACTGAGGAGATACGACAAAGGGGTTCTTTTTAGCGGTAAACGCGCAAACTTGTGTCTTCTGAGGATTAAATTGGACTAGATTTAGTCGCCCCCAATCCGAGACTTTGTTCAGCAAAGACTCGACTTCAGACACAAGTTTGTTCCGGTACTCAGCGACGTTTTCCCGAGAAATATTGGCACGGCCGGTGTATAGAGCATCACCAGTGCTGTCATCCGCATAGCAATGAATGTTACCAGTTAGCAACATATCATTGATATGCAGAAGAAATAGCGTTGGTGATAGCACACAGCCTTGTGGAACACCAGCGTTAATAGGCTTGTAGTCAGAGCATGCACCGTCTACAACGACCTTGATGCTCCGATCTGCAAGGAAGCTGGTGATCCAATTGCACAATTTCTCGGGAAGCCCATAGGAAGGGAGCTTCGAAAGAAGCGCTTTGTGCCAAACCCGATCGAAGGCCTTCGCAATGTCCAGACTAACGGTCAACGCCTCCCCCTTGGACTCTACTGCCTCCGCCCATCTATGGGTCAGGTAGACCAGAAGATCACCAGCTGATCGACCCCGACGAAAACCGTATTGGCGGTCACTAATCAGCTGGTGATCCTCAAGGTACCGGATGAGCTGGCAGTTAATAATGGATTCCATTATTTTGGAGAACAAGGAGGTGATCGCGATAGGCCTATAGTTGGATGGGTCTGAGCGGTCGCCTTTTTTAGGGATCGGGTGGACAAAAGCTGTCTTCCATGAATTCGGGACTACGCCTTGAGAGTAGGAGTACCTGAAAAGACGCGTTAGGACCGGTGCCAACTCCGGAGCACACGTCCTCAGCACAATTGGAGGGATTCCGTCAGGCCCACTCGACTTCTGGATGTCCAGGGAGAGCAGTGCTTTGCGAACCGAACGATGTGAGAACAGCACATCCGGCATGGAGCACTCACACCGCGGGATGGTCGGCGGTGTTTTCCCCCCGTCATCAAGAGTCGAGTTGGACGCAAAAAGGGAGCCTAAAAGGTCGGCTTTGTCTTTTGCGTCATGGGCCAGTGAGTCATCCTCCCTGTGCAGAGATGGTAGTGATGGCTTACAGAAATTCCCTTGGACAGCCTTGGCGAGAGACCAGAATGCACGGGTTCCCGAAGGAAGGCGAACTAGTTTCTCGCCAATTCTGCCTATGTGCTCTGACTTTTCTTTTTTGCAAGCTTATGGAAGACAGCCTTAGTGCATTCGATTCCTAAAAAAGGCTGCGACCTATCCAAATACAGGCCTATCGCCGTCACCTCCTTGTTCTCCAAAATCATGGAATCCATTATTACCTGCCAGCTCACGCGGTACTTTGAAAAGCATAAGCTGATTAGTGACCTTCAATACGGTTTCCATCGAAGCTGTTGGGATCAATAGAACGGAAACGGCGTGTATGTATGTATACATACATACAAAAGACATACATACCTACTTACAAAATTAACTATTTTATTGGTGCCAATGGAGGGGGGACCTGGGTTGCTAGCGTACTGTGAAATTTTACGGCAAACAAAAAAGCCTCCGAGCTACCAGGGCTTTTTATGAATCTTTGTATGGCCTGTAAATAATTCCTCTATCTTAATCTTCCCGTAAACTTCCTCTGCTGAACAGGGAAGAATCTCTCCCAATGTAGGGAGAATTTGCCTTGAGCGTCACGCTTGGCATAGGACTGACAATCGCAGAACCAGACGTGAGCACCTCTGGCAATGTCGCTTGGCGCCGGTCTCGATATTTTATATCTGAAATAAACGAGCTGGTTATACCGGCGTCTGCCGGAAGCCATCAGATTTTTCTGGCAAACCCAAAGTTGCCTCTTACGAAACCCACGGGACAACATGTAATGATAAATTCTCTTATAATTTCCTTTACACGCAAACTTCGACTGTACTGTATGTATAACACTAGTTCTGTGTGGAATTCGAAACAGCGATTATTAGATTAATGTAATTATAACATGGTCAGAAGAACCATTCTTTCCCACCAAAAAAGAAAATGAGAGACATTATTCGGAGTAATTGGCTAAAATACTTTATATCTAGCAACATTATTTAGTATAATTATGCCCATTGTAAACCGTTTAAGGTGTCTTGCAATAAAGATGCAATAACATACAATAAATAAAAAGTTTAACTACGACAAATAATTTTTCAGAAACTTCTGAAAAGAAGATTAAATCAAATTCTACTGATTGTAACATAAACGATGTTCGTGAAGAAAACCTCGATTTTGAAGGCCCTACTATTAAATCAAACCCTAAAATGAAAAAACATAATCAACCAATTAATAAAAAAGAAAAGCATCCTGCAAAAATAATGAAAAAGAAAATTTTAAAACAAAAGAGTGTAAATTTACTTAAGAAAAAGACATCTGGGACATCAACTAAATACATTTTTGAATGTGATGGTTGTAGTAAAAAATTTTCAACAAAAGACATTCTCGCCAAACACATTTCATACAGTCATAAGACACAAAAGAACTCAGACACCACTGCAGTGCGGACACAAGTAGAACTAACTCCAGTACCACAACAAACAGAAAAATTTAATTGTGATATTTGCGAATTTAAAACATCTCAAAAACGTTGCATTTTGTCACATCTTAAAGCGCACGTCGCTAAACAAATGTACTGTTGTAATAATTGTGAATATAAATGTATTAGAAAAAGAGATTTGCAAAAACATATGAAAATACACACCGGTGAAAAACCTTTTTCGTGTAATATCTGTGAATATAGATGTATTACAAAAAGTAATTTGCAAACCCATATGAAAATACACACTGGTGAAAAACCTTTTTCGTGTAAAATCTGTGAACATAGATGTGTTACAAAGAGTCGTTTGCAAATACATATTATGAAAATACACAGCGGTGAAAAACCTTTTTCGTGTAATATCTGTGAATATAGCTGTATTAGAAAAAGTGCTTTGCAAATACATATGAAAATACACACCGGTGAAAAACCTTTTTCGTGTAATATCTGTGAATATAGATGTATTAGAAAAAATAGTTTGCAAGAACATATGAAAATACACAGCGGTGAAAAACCTTTTTCGTGTAATATCTGTGAACATAGATTTATTAGAAAATGTGATTTGCAAACCCATATGAAAATACACACCGTTGAAAAACCTTTTTCGTGTAATATCTGTGAATATAGATGTATTAGAAAAAATAGTTTGCAAGAACATATGAAAATACACAGCGGTGAAAAACCTTTTTCGTGTAATATCTGTGAACATAGATTTATTAGAAAATGTGATTTGCAAACCCATATGAAAATACACACCGGTGAAAAACCTTTTTCGTGTAATATCTGTGAATATAGATGTATTAGAAAAAATAGTTTGCAAGAACATATGAAAATACACAGCGGTGAAAAACCTTTTTCGTGTAATATCTGTGAATATAGATGTATTAAAAAAAGTCGTTTGCAAGAACATATGAAAATACACACCGGTGAAAAACCTTTTGCGTGTAATATTTGTGAATATAGGTGTATTAGAAAAACTGATTTGCAAACCCATATGAAAATACACACCGGTGAAAAACCTTTTTCGTGTAATATCTGTGAATATAGATGTATTACAAAAAGTAATTATCAAAAACATATGAAAATACATACTGGAGAAAAACCTTTTTCGTGTAATATCTGTGAATATAGATGTATTACAAAAAGTCATTTGCAAACCCATATGAAAATACATACTGGACAAAAACCGTTTTCGTGTAATATCTGTGAATATAGATGTATTACAAAAAGTCATTTGCAAACCCATATGAAAATACATACTGGAGAAAAACCTTTTTCGTGTTATATCTGTGAATATAGATGTATTTCAAAAGTTTCTTTGCAAACACATATGAAAGTACACACAGGAGAAAAACCTTTTTCGTGTAATATCTGTGAATTTATATGTAGAACAAAAAGTAATTTGCAAAAACATATGAAAATACACACCGGAAAATACCTTAATTGAGGATAAGGATTCCTAATAGATGTCCATGGGCCACAGCTGCACAGCATTCACTTACCATCAGTTGGACTGGGTGCTCGTATGTCACCCTTATTCAATTTAACAAATCATTGAATATCTCAGATCAACACCGGTTTGAAACCATTCAAGTGTGAGGTATGCGATAAATTATATTAGGTTCTTACATATGAAATTAGGGGGTGCTAAGAAACTCCGGTGGAGGTTCGGTTGCCATCTACGACGACTCGACCTGGCAACTTATAACGCACGCACCCTGAGGACTGACGAGAAGATCCCGGAGCTGGAAGAATAGATAGGCAAGTTGCGCTGGAATGTCATAGGATTATCCGAAGTCCGAAGAGAGGTGGAGAACACGGTAATCCTCGAATCCGACAATTTGTTCTATCACCGGGAGGGTGACCATCTGTCCCAATGAGGTGTTGGATTTATCGTCCAAAGTCACTCGTTAACAACGTTGTAAAGATTGGGAGTGTGTCGACGAGGGTTGCGTACCTTATACTCAGAATCACCAAACGGTATTCGCTGAAGGTCATACAGGTATACGCACCAACCTCGGCACACCCCGATGAGGAGGTGGAGGAAATGTATGAGGATATCTCTAGAGCCATGCATTCCTCCAGAACCCACTATACGGTGTTAATGGGAGACTTCAACGCAAAACTAGGCACAATTATTGTAAAAAAAGACAGCATTTGGATCTCATCTACTGTATTCCAGAAGTTGTAGAGAACCCCTTTAAGGCTTCAAATACTGATAACACTGGTAAGTTTCCCTTCAACTCTTTCTAATAATTTTATAAAGAGTTATTAAATATTCTCATGATGTACAACAATCTATTAAATTGCTTATTTAGCATCCATAATCTGTGTTTCTGTCTATGTTTCAATATTACCATCATACAGTTGTAGCACAATTTGATGTTATCACATGCATAAGGGTTTTGGTTGTGGTGCTACTTATTTAGGGCTATGAATTTTTCATTGGGGTGTATAATAGATTCCTTCGAATCCTTATAATCTACATCTCAACTTTTTAACAATTTCCCTAATAATGCTGTAAAAAAGTAACTTAATACTGTTTAGAACTTAAATGTTTTTGATTTCAACTCAAACAACAGTCAATTAATTTTGACAATGTTAATATTGCTCTATTGAAATTAATACATTTGTTTAATGCCAACAGTTTGCTCTTAACCCTTAAATGCATGATGATATATATATACATCAGTATTTTCTTTCTTACATAATTTCTAAACGGTAACTCAAACTCAGTATATTTTACTTTTAATAGGTGCTAAAAATATCTATCTTAGGTTTTGAACGCAAGCTTTCATGATATGGCAGTTCACTTTTTTAAATGTCATAATTTGACAGCTTGGCGCAACACTTTCAGATACACACTTTGGCAGTAAAATTGTAATGTCATTTTAGTGGATACTAAATAGTATTATTACGTGCTAAAAGTGATTTACGAGAGGATAAAGGTAAGCAGAACACATTATATATATATTTTTTAGAATACAATAACAGTTTTTGTAAATATCAGCGGTATAATTGTGATGTAGAAATACATCAGTATGCAAAATAGGCAAGAAATAGTATTACTGTAAGTATAACATATTTTTTTTATTTTTGACTTATTTGTTATAGATACGTAATTTATTCATACAAGTTTTATAATTGTTTAGGCCAAAAAAGGTAATTTGTACGTCATCCAATTGCGTTCGAGCTGGCGCCTCACCTGATGGTATGTAGGTGAGGTAAACGCCGAGGTGGGGCGGCTGCGTGCGGCTTGCAGTCGCTCGACGCGTGGGAGAAGAGTCAGTGCTCCGCCAGCGATGGAGCGGGGAGCCGTGAGGCCCTCTTACCTAAATTCACGCGACCGTCGTAGGTCTAGATGGCTAGATTAAGTGCGTGTTTCTTCGTCACGTAGATATGTGAATTGTGCGATATTGAACTCGTGCGGGAGTGCGGAATTGTGTAAGCGCGTCGAGTAGATATACGGTCTAGGATTCGAGCCGCGCATTCCTTGTTTGAGAGCTTCTCCCGGTTAATTGTCAAGATATCATTATAATTGTGTCGTCGCGTTTAGTGCCCTTTTTGTGTTTTGGTTGGCTAGTAAGATTAATTTGCGGGTCAACGAAGCGTATTTTGAATCTTGCGCGACGTGTTATTCTGCTACTGTTCTCACTGTGTCGGGTATCACGTGTTCGATTCTACGATAAATGTGGAATTAGGCGAATTTAAGTTAGTTAAATGTACAATGAAGCTAAGAGAGGGGAATTAGTGACAGTGAAGAAAGAAATGGTCCAGCGATGGAGCAAGCTGGAGCGATGCAGCATTTTGGGGCAGCCTGGAAATCGGCCGCTGCCGGTCGCCTACGCCTGCCCAGGCCGCACACATTTACACCTCACTGTACACTGTTCGCCAAACACCATTACACACACTCACGGCTTGCCCAAGCCTTGGAGCGAAGTTAGCTTCTGATACTGGTAAGTTCTATTGGTTTCTAGCTTTCTCCCATATAGTTTATGGTGGTAGGACATTCCACGTGACCATTTTGGGCCCGACCTACGTCTGCTCGTGAAGTCTTCTGCTGATGGGCCCCGGAGGATTTGACCCTTGCTGGAGCAGCTGTAGGCCGTAACAATAATTATTTTTCCAGAATGTCCCGTAAAGTGGCAGATAGAGACATAGAACAACTTTTGGCGGCTTTAGAAGATGGAAATTTTTCTGAGGATGGCTTGGAAGATAAAAGTGAAGATGAAGAAACCTTTTTCGCTAATGCAAGAGAAATAATTCGAGAGTTGGAATTCGAGGATGCAGAGGATCATGAAGATCCTACCTATAGTGATCCACCACTGGTTCAAGATTTGCCTTTTTTTATAGGATAATGGTGACAAACGAGCACACAGTCCACCTGATGGTAAGTGGTTGCTGCGGCCCATAGACATCTACATCTATCCTCTGTTACAAATCAAAATGTAGATGCGTTGTCACCCGTGAGGACTAAGATGGAATGCCTCATTTCCAGTAAAAAAGGCCTCCGGCCACCTGCACTCGCCAAGCGAAACGCAGAGGTAAACCTCTACTTCACGCTGGTTTTCTGTGAGGTCGTGGTACTACCCCGGTTCGAGCCGGCCCATCCGTGCGACAGCAAAAGCTGCCGCGTGGCTCTACCACTGTTAAAACTGCCTGGCCCATCAAGTCAAATTATTATTTCATTACCCATGCAAGAAGGTCTTGAACATTATGTAGAGTTTGATAAAAGGAAACTCATTTGGAAAAAAGACAGTTTGTTGTATGACGAATCGAAAATAATTCACCAACCAAGCACAACAGACTGCTATAACTGAACTTAATACACCATATAAATGTTTTTTGCACTACTTCACACCGGAGTTTCTTCAAAAAATTGTTGATGAAACCAACTTATATGCAGTATACGAAAACCCTTCAATATCTTTCACTGTTGGGGAGTTAAAAAAAATCATAAGAATTCTTTTATTTATGTCAGTAGAGCCGTGGTAGCTGAGATGGTTAGCGCTCGCTGTAAGCTTCACAGTACTCGAGCAACCCGGGTTCGATCCCCGCCGGCACCAATGAAATTGTTAATTGCAATTTTAAGTGCTGATTTACCACGTGCTCGGCGGTGAAGGAAAACATCGTGAGGAAACCTGCATGTCTGAGAAATAAAAAAAAATATTTCGATGACATGTGAAGTTCGCCAACACGTATTGGGGCAGCGCGGTGGACATTTCCTTGCCCTAAAACCCTCTCAGAAATGAGAGGAGGCCTGTGCCCAGCTTTGGGACGTAAATAGGCTGCAACTTTATGTCAGTAGAGCATTTCCCTTGTGTACGCTCATACTGGCATTCCAAGTTACAATATTACAAGAGTACAATATGCATATGGGCGGAGTCGACCTGATGGATAGCTTTTTAGGACGCTATCGGATTCGAATAAAGAGTCGGAAATGGTATTTACGCTTGTTTTATCATCTACTGGACCTCACTACAACCAACTCATGAATTAAAAAACTCATTATGAAAAAAAATCTAATTGCTAAAGGTGTATCAAAAAAGCAACTGCCTAATCTTGGGGGAGTTTCATAATTATTTGGCTGACACACTGTGTAATATAGGTATGTCTGGTGGAAGTAAATGAGGGCACCCTAGTACTTCCTATCTAGAACGCGAGCTTCAAATAAAAAAGCAAAAAGGTCCGCAACATCCGCTCCCACCAAAAGATGTACGCGTAGATGGATTTGAACATTGGCATGTATTTGCCAATCGATTACGGTGCAAGATGCCCAATTGTAAGGGCACCACACAATGGTCGGGTACCAAATGTAATGTACCGTTGTGTCTAAATCAGAGAAACAACAGTTTCAAAGATTTTCATTCACTGCAGTAAGCCTAATTCGATGACAATCGTTTATAGAATAGTACTTAGGCTACATGTTTAATAGTAACTGTAATGCATACTGATGTAGATCTACATCAGTAAGTTTTTTTTTTTTTTATAAAAATATACTTTTTAGAATAAAAATATTTTTTTCTTTATTTTTCCCTTAATCTATGTTTCATTATCTACCTGTTTCAATTTATGGTATTGTTACGAGCTTGGGGTTCGAGATAATTAAAAACTGCCGAGTGAATTACCAAAATTGACTATTTAATTACCCAACACTAATAACAACTTAAAATCACACTAATAATAAAACACAGTTCGCCGTTATTTCGCTTCGAAGTATTCTCTTGTATCGCCAATTCAATACTGCCCCGGTCGTGGTCTATACCGGCCTTATATAGGGCCTCAGATAGTTTCCAGAACCTTCTACTGTAGCGACATCTAGAATGTTCGAGTATATATCGGTCCCGAAATTTCTGGAAGGATCTCGGCTCTCCTAGTTCTGCTACTCGACACTAGAGGGCGCTGGTGTAACTAGTGTTGCCATGTACAAGACATTAATAGTGGCGCGCAATACTGCCCCCTCCTAAGACATGCTCGTCCCGAGCATTATTTTCCCCATAATAACGCGCCTGTCTGACGTGCTCATAAATGTCATTCATTTTGTTCCGCAAGTCATTTGCATAATCGGTTATACTGCGTGGGGCATCAGGTGGTATTCCGGTGATCAGGTCTGCAGGCAGCCTTAATTCTCCCAAAGTTTGCGAAAGCTGACGTCACTGATGTACTTTCGTGAACAGCGCTTCGATATGACAACAAAAACGGTTGTATGTGCCTGTCCCAGTCTCGTTGCTGTTTTTCCACAATTTTTGCCATGCACCAGCGCCGGCCCGAGGCAAGTTTTAGGATGGAGCGAGACCCAAGTTTTAGCGCCCCTCTTGCTTGCCCCAGTTGTACGTGCACATAGAGCATGAAACTGAGAAGATCTCGAAAAAATCTTAAGTCTATGTCTGATTGGTCGATTGAAAATAGCCATGCTCGTGGTATTTTAGGCACTGCACTCCTTACGGTATCTACGTAGGTCACTCAATAAGTTTTGAGATGGTTGAAATTTAAAAATGGAACGCACCCGTGTTATGTGTTTTTAAAAAGCAAATTTATTTAGAAATAGAACTCCATAAACCAATTGATTAATATTTAAAAAAAACAAAGTTCTATTAATTTTCTTGCAACACTTCTCGCGCTTTTCATTTAAAACGATGGATCTTAACCGTGAACATTTGCGCGCTATGATATATTATGATTTTAAATTTGGTTTAACCGAACAATTAAGTTTACAACGGTTACAATCAGCATAAGGGGACTCAGCTCCATCACGCGCAACAATTTTTAGGTGGTTTGCTGAATTCAAAAGGGGTAAAATTAATCTTAAAGATGACCAAAGAATC